CACAAACGGTGTGAAATCGAACAGCCCTGATATGATAATATTATCACTGAAAATCAAAAATCCAATCACGCGTATAATAATATGTCAAATGGCAAATACACACGAAACCCTCGCCATAACGTCGTCATGCACACTGTATACGCTACCGGTTATATACCTGATCGTAATWTTATAATATTGCAGTAATATAGTTATACATTTCAAGGTACWTTTCTGTTATCCCTRCTACCGCTTGRCGTTTCATTGATAATTTTGACGACTTTTTGTTTTATAATATTATAGTAACTTTCCACTGCTGTGATAATTTTAGAATTTGTAATTTGACGTTTTGTGATAATTTTGATGATTTCATGTTGTAAATTAGTACTATCTTAGATCGTGGTTTTTAACTATAATTCTTCACTACTGTGATAGTTTGTGTGATTGCTGATAAATAAACGTTATACTAATATTCTACATTGTTACATAAATAATGGCAATTCATGACGCGTATTATGTATTAAAATATGGAACTATATCTGGATAGGACTATATAGCAGTCGAAATAACAGAATTGAATTAGTCGCGGTAGTCGAGATAACAGAATTGAGAGTCGCGGTAGTAGAGGGATAACAGATAATAGTACCCATTTCAATATCGTAAAAAATAATAATAATAATAATAATAATGTTGGTATCGCGCACGTGTTATAAATCTTACCGGAAAAGCTTGCGACGTTCTCGTTTGATTCGGTTTAGTCGACTGACGGACTTTAGCGATTCGGCGAGCATCCACTGGCGAGTGGCCGGGCGCTATCTATACCACTCGCGTGCATGGTGGTGAGTCGTCGAGTTTTCACCCCTAGGGAGAAGCTGTTTTCCGACGTTTATGTAGGTAGAGCCACTGGTTTATATTATCATAATTTCGATATTTTCCAAGTATTTTTCGCGAGTTTAAAATGTCACGTACAGCGTAGGTGGTGGCCGAAGATAAGCTCAAACAGATCTACCGATGGAAATCGTGGATTTCGATAATCGCGGTCGTCTTCGTAGTCAGACATCGGTGCGTATTTTCCGCTGGTGCCTATACATATATTTAGGAGCTTTCCCACATCCCGCGCGAATGGAATTTTCGTCGACCGTGTGAACAATAATCGAAAGGCACAGGGTAAATGGATAATAACTAGCCCACGCGTATTAATTCACGCTTTTCTACGTATGTGTATCTCGTATATGATTTAATTAAAAACAAAAATCGTTAGTAAAATGACGTACATGTTTATTCTGCGAGTCCTCCTTACAGCGAAAAATTCATAAATATCGATCAGGAATGCAGACAACACGTCTCGATTGTTGCTCGTAAAACTGCAGAGTATCGAATAAAACGTATTCATTTATTTCGACACGTCTCATTTATCATTTTCAGAGCGGTGGTTTACGACAAATATGATCGATTTTATGTTTTCGGCCATTGTAGGTACACTTTAAAACTGCAGACAACTCTTTTATTTTATTTTATACAGTAAAGTTGTGTTTCAGTCGTATACGATATCGAAATTGAAAGGTCCTAAAGTTTTGACAATCGTTTCAAATAAAATWGAAAATATTGTTTGTAAAGTAGGTATTTTATTTTGTTATACAATGCTAAAATATCCAACGGATTTCTGAATAATTATTTTCAAGCAATCATTGAGTGAAAGAGAAGAGTATCTCTATTCTAAAATAAATTCAATAAAGTATTACTATATTATTTGTTTATGCTAAATTATTTATGTTAATCTAACTTTTAAGTTAATCCTTAACATTCTTATACATTTTTTTTTTTGTGAATTAAAAAATTATAGTTTCACGGAATTTAAATTAGGTGCGTCATTTTCATTTAGCCTTAAACTACCTACTTTCTTTTAAATARGCATGCCATAAACAGAATGCTATTTTTGTGTAAATATACAGTTAAAATATGCAAAAAGAAGCAAAATAAAGAATAGATTATTTGTATCAATATTCGTAGAAATTACGTACCCAAATGTCTGAAAAGATTAAACAAAAATAAACATTCCAATGCAAATTAATCCCAGCTCTATAATTATTCCGAAGAGAATTACATTTTTATTGGGGGAACGAATAAAAGTAATCGTTAATAATATTATTAATAAGTCATGATTAAACCTATACCTATCCTATATACGCGTACGCAAGGGTTGAATACCATAAAATGCATTAATATACAGGAGCTAGCCACTCCCATTGGTTTCACAGCGGTCTCGTTCACTCCTGAATAATATATTGTTACATAATTATTTTACGGTGTAAATAGAAATATTTCATTTCGGAATTCTATTTGGAAACGTATTATATTATAG